ATCTTACTATTTGTTTTCTATTTTGTCTCACCTGTTCTATATCCCTTTTTCTATCTTGTCTCATTTTGGATAGCCAAGTGTTTTTATTATTTCCTGTTCCCCATCGATTAGCTTACAGGTTATACATGTCTTCACTATTTTTTTTTTCAGTAGGTTATCAGAGCAGTGGTTCTTAAAGCGTGGTCCCTGGACCCGCAGCACCAGTAGCACTGGGAACTTGTTACAGTTGTGCATGTCCGGGCCCATCTGGAAGCATACACGGTGAGGTGGGAACCCGCAGTCTGGGTTAAGGAGTCCTCAGGTGGTGCTGGTACACACTAAAGTGAGAAGCACTGCCCTGAGACAACGCTGGCTTCTGGAAGGCAGCCAGGCTGCGTGCAGAACACCTTACTCCGAGGGACGGAGTGGATTCAAAGCCTGCTTTCTGCCTGCTTTCCGGATGCTTTCTGCCTGCTTTCCGGCTTGCTCCTACCAGAAAGAGGGGTAGCCTAAAGAGGCTGAAAACCGGCACTGTTTTTTGGGTCCCCTCCTCCTTCAGTTTTTTCTCCCCGGCCTCTGATGCTGCTAGAAGAAGGGGAAAGTGGTGCGAATGGCCAGGCTCACCTCTCTCTGTTTCTTTTTCCTCTGGGGTCCTGCAACCCTGACCCCTCAAATTCTTGCTCCCCTGGATGATTCTTCAATGCCCTCATGTTTCCCCTAGCTTTTCTAGCTATTATTGGCAGGTATTGTGTGACCTGAGTTTGTCTGCCACAGCTAGAGGAGGAAGTGCCCATTCTATTTTTATTCTCCCACTAGAATTATTGAGTCAAAATGAGTGTCTGGCACATGCAAAAAGCTCAGTAAGTGTTAAGTTATTATTCTTCTTCTCCCAATAGAATCCCAGGGTCATATTGAGCCGCGCTGTTAAAAAAAATCAACACTTTCTACCCCATCCATACATTTTATAGATCAGCAACCTGATGTTACACTATATTATGATTGGACTCAGGTGCAATCAGACTCCAGTGGGACACCGTAATTGGATTCTAGTGGACTCCTGGATGGCTTCCTGTCCCTGGTCTGAGAGGTGGCAGTGTGCTCTCCATCCCCAAATCAGGGACTGGAAAACCTTAGCTCAGCTCAGTTCTCAGCTGAGAATGAAACAAGCCAGAGCCATCTTCTCTCCCTCTCCTCCTGTGGGGCCCAGACAGCTAGGCCCAAATGCACAATTTGGAGCAATCTGCTTAGCTTCAGAATTTCAGGCATTTAATGTCTGTCCTCTGGACATGTGTGCACTTACACACACACATGCTCACACAGGCATGCTCACCAGGACATAGGCAGGCACACAATACAGCACACACAGTCCAAGGGAGCCCGGGCAGCAGAGGTGGGAATGAAAATTGGTCTGCGTTGAAACTGGTCTCTTACCCCAGAGAGCAGGGAGAAGCAGCCACAAGCAACAGGCCAAGAGGTCAGGCCAGGTCAAGGGCAGAGAAGGCTGCCCTGGGGATCTGCCACCTCCTCCATCTGGCCAGAGCTCAGTACTGGGTCCCTGGAATCAGTTCAGTGAACTCTTGTGTGGCCCTAGCAGTTTATGGGGAGAACATGACCTGGTAGAGAACTGTGGCCCTTGACTGCCACTATGAGCAGGTGCTACAGCCCCTAGCTTGGATGCTTTATGGAAGCGGAGGGGTGTGTGTGTGTGTGTGTGTGTGTGTGTGTGTGTGTGCATACCTATCTGTGTGTGTCAGGGTAGGCTTTGATGCTGTGCTCAGCCTCTAAACCCAGAAGAAACCCTCTAGCCTAGGGAAGTTTTAAACCGATTTTAGATAATTTAGTTCAGAAGAAATCTATGCACTTAATTTGTTCTGGTTTAACAGTAGTACATGCTCGTTGTAAAAAATAAATGTGGAAAACCGAAAAACCATGGTGTAAAAAAGAAAATGGAAGAAACACCCGTGCTCTCACCCCTGGAGGTAATCGCTGTTGACACTTGGCTGGAGTTGAAATTATGTGCACATACCGTTCTTTTCTGCCTTCTCACTGAATCTGCAGTGAGCATTTTCTCCTGTCATTCCTCTTTGTAGACCTGTTGGAAGGTCTTGCACCACCTCGTATTGTACCATCATTTATTTAACTCGTCCCTCATTGTTGGACACTCAGGTGGCTTTCGGTTTGTTCTTATTGTGGAAAACCCAGGATCACGCATCTTTGTACAATGAAGTGCTGAGAAGCCTTGCCTAACGGCACAGTCCAGGAAAGGCTGTGTGACTTGGGCTCCAGAAGCTTAGCTGGATGTACTTTGACCAAAAGAGGTGGTTGGCAAAAGCAGGAGGATGAGCTGGAACCCAGCTGCCCTGCCTGCCCTGGACAAGTGCCCTGCAAATGCCCTCACGTCTCCAGAGCCCCGGGGCCTCATTCCTGGCCACAAGCATCCTTCTTTTCCTTCTGGGGGATTGGACAGGTGGCTCCCCCTGCTGAAGCAGGGCAGAGGGCAGGGTGAGTTAGATGCATTCATCTGCTCTGAGGACCCTGGGACTGGTCCTCCCTGCCTCACCCCTGCTGAAAGGCCCTCCGTACCTCTGCCCACATGAATGGCAACAAGGACCTTCAAGGCTATACACAGAGGGGGGTAAATTAAGACCAGCTGGTGGAGGGGCTGGGGGACCTTTGAGAACCATGTCCTACAATCCCAGAGGGAGGAAAAGATGAGGGGCAGGCGGGGCTGGGACTAGGGCAGCCCAGGGAGAGTTGGGAAGCCCGAGGGTCCACCTGGCAAGTAGCTGTCTTGCCTTTCCTTTGCCCCCCTCATCCTGTACTGAGGGGCCATGGAGGGAAGGAGAGGACTCTGCTCCTCACTGGGCTCTGAGCCTGCTCGTCTACCCTGGACTCTTGAAAGGTGACAAAGAGTGGGGGCGTTTCACTTCTGTGGGGCTCCTTGAGGCCATGGGATCGTGAATGTTAGTGCCATCATCATCAGTGACCATTTAAATCAACCCTTCTTATTACAGATGGGAAAACTGAGGTGCCAAGTCAAAATGTTAATGGGGTGGTTCAGGAATGGAACCCCAGTGTACCTGACTACCAAACCCATGAGCCTTATGGTCACATAACCTTCAACTCTGCACCCGTGGGTCACATCTGCTGGAGGATGGGAAGTTATGATGGGCTCAGAAGTTGCCCATGGGGGTCAAAAGAGACCAGTCCTGCTTGGAATTTGCCCAGAGGAGCCCAGACACAAGCCTAGCCCTGCAAGACCTCTGTCGTGGGCACTCCCAACTCCCCACCTGCAGGAAGGAACCCTCCACATCCCTGTAGTCCGAGGGGCTCCCTGCATTGTTGACCTCTGGTGAGAAAGGAGGAGGAAGTAGCCAGGCCCCTGCATTCCTGAGCACTGGAGAGCAGTGACCTAAGCCCCACCCCCTCCCAAGCCTGTGTGCCCATCTCTGCGTGTGGAGAAGCTCCTGCCACAGCTGCCCTCAGTCCAAGTGTTACTTGCAGCTGGTTAATGCACCAACAAAGCCCCCAGGCGCATGGCAGCCCAATGTCTCCAGCACCATCTGTCCCCTTCCTGGATGAAGAGGCGGGACACTTGGGCCACATGCTGGTCTTTGTGCCCCTCCAGGAGTCTCTGTTAGAGAGGCCACACCTCCCAGGGCTCAGAACCTGAGGCATGGCAGCCTCTTCCTGCTGCTTTGCCTCCAGGCAGGCCACAGCTCACCCTCCTCCCTCATAGCGGGCCAGCCAGGGAGTCCAGGCCCCCATGGCCACACTCTCAATACTTGGTCCCTCTCCTCCCTCCCTCTGTCCCTTCCCCTGGGCATTGTTCCTGGGGCATGCTTTGTCTCCAGGTTTCCCAAGAACCAGCTTTCTAGAAGCTAGTCATTTCTCTTGGGGCAGAAGTAGAAATGGCCCTTGGCCAGACTTTGAATTCTTTTTTTTAGTTTTCTAAAAATATTTTTATTGATTTTTAGAGAGAAAGGAAGGGAAGGGGAGAGTGAAAGAGAGAAACATGGATTGGTTGCCTCTTGCCCACACCCTGAACCGGGGCGTCAAACCCACAACCTGGGTATGTGCCCTGACTAGGAATCGAATCCACCACCTTTTGGTTGGTGTACGGGACAACACTTCAACCAACTCAGCCACATCGGCCAGGGCTTGTCCTTTTTTCTTTATCTCCCCACTGAGTCCCAGTTGTCTTCAGTTGACCAGAAGCCATGGCAAAGCCTTCTAGATGATGTACTAGCCAGCCCAGCCCTCTCCAAGCCACTCTCCACACTTAAACATTGGAAGGCTTCGGGATCCAAATCTCATCCTATCACACCTGCCAAGACCCGTGAAGCCATCTTAGACTCCAACAGGACTGCATGCCCCACACCCAGCTCACACCTCCCTCTGTACCCTGAACCACACCTGCCTTCTCCCAGGCTCTCAGACCTGCCACCCTTTATCTGGCCTCTGCATGAAATGTGTTCCCCTCCCCTCGCCTTGTCAACTTGTCCCCTTCCTTCAGATCTGTTTAAAAGCCTTCCCTGCACCTCTGTCCTCACACCCCCTGTGGTACTTCTTGGGGCAGCCGTCTTCTCTATCAGACTGTGAGCTCTGGGAAGAAAAAGTGTGCATCCCTCTTCCTCTCCTTCTTCCCACCTCTCTCACCATCATATCCCGGCATCTGTGTGTACAGCACCTGGCATAGAGCTGATGCTCAATAAATGTGTGTTGAGTGGATACATGAACAAACCAATTCTATGAGGTAGATACAGCTGTTATCCCCAATTTGCAGACAAAGAAATGGAGAAGTTTCTGGAAAGTTGAGTAGCCAAGTCAAGGTCCCATCTCTGGTCAGTGGTAGAGGCAGGGTCTGAGACAAGTCAGACTGCAGAACCCCGGCTCATAACCCTTCCAGTCCTGCATCCGGCGCCCTGGCCTCAGTGTCTGTCTGTCTTGTGCTCCCAGCAGGCTCTCTGAGGACTGCCCAGCTGGCCCAGATTCCCTTTCCTGGCGCTGCCCCCAGAACCATGGAGAGTCTGAGTGAGCTGCAGAACCCACTGCTGCCTCGGAGCCCCGCCCACCTCCACCGCCCCTACCCCTACCCCCAGGCCTCGCCCAGCTGGTCCTGCCAGGAGAAGCTCTACTCCTTCCTCCTAGGAGGTGCTGACCCTGCTCGCGCCCACCAGCTCCTGGACCCAGGGTCCCTGCAGCTGGCCGTGGAGGCCTGGTACAGGCCTACCTGCCTCCTGGGGAGGGACAAGGTCAAGGAGCCCAGGGCAGGCAGCTGTGAGACCAGCTTCACAGAGAGCAGGGAGCCCCAGGCTGGGCCCACAGAGTGGTCCACGGAACCTGGCCAAGCAGAAGAGGATGTCGCCATCCAGACTGTGTCCTATGGGGTTCAAGAGGAGCTGCAGGGACAGGAGGACGACCAAGAGGAGGAGGAGGTGGGTACATGTATTTAAAACACAGATTCCCAGGCCCACCGCCAGGCGTTGAGATTAATTAGGCCTGGCTTGGGGTCGCACCTCCCAGGGGCACTTCGACACAACTGCTACCCACACTTTGAGAAACACTAGCTTGGGTTGACTGTTTAATTTTTAAATAGCATTTATTGTTCCTGTTTTCTTAATCATATAAGTAATATACAGTTAATGCCCAAAACCACGGAAAGATAACATTATTGTAGTGGGTGATCTTCTAGTCATTTTTTATTCATGTTTTTATCCCATCCTAGTCCCCCAGAGAGATCTTGCAGTACCTAGTTTTGTAACTTGATTTTTCTCGCTAAGCAACATATTTAGTGTTGCTTCACATAATGTAACCTTTTTGCCAGGTGATTCTAAAGGGTTACATGGTATTCCATGGTAGGTATTCCATCACTTATTAAGTCAACCTCCTGAGCGTTGGGCCTTGTACGGGACAATTGTTTCCAATCTTTCACAATCACTACCCGGTGCCGAACATGCCTGTACATACATACTTACATTCTTTCCTTGTGATAAATCCCTAAAGATGGAATCCATGGGTCATTGTAAAGGGTTTTTGGTAGAGAGCACTGAGCCCAACCTAGACACTTCCATCGAAGCAGAAGAGAACCACGTCATTGCCCCTGGGCGATCCTGGGCCTGGTCACGAACCCGACTCGTGTTTTGCAGAGTGACGCAACCTCCACAGAGAGTGAGAGTGAAGACAACTTCCTCACGCTGCCCCCCAGGGACCACCTGGGGCTCACCATCTTCTCCATGCTCTGCTGCTTCTGGCCACTGGGCATCGCCGCCTTTCTACTTCTCCCAGGGGGTAAGAGCGCGTGGGGCCCAGGCCTTGGACTCTGGCCACCTTTCTCCACTGCAGGGCTTGG